CATAGTGCAAACATCAAAAAAAGAAACAGAAAACAAAAAACGAAAAAAAAAAAAAAAGAACACTATAAAACCCTAACACAAAAACAGTCCAAGTCAAAATGAAACATCCAACAAATTCAACGGAATGCCAACTTTGTCATTATTGATCCAAACATGTCAAAACTGGACACATGACGTGCCCTAAAGCACATACATGTCACACAAAAAGAAAAACAAGAATGTGGGTTTCTTCTAAGGTTTGTTCCCTGGACCTATGACTAACTGGTACTTTTCCCCATGGTTGTAGATTTTAGGACCGAGGGAACCCTTTTCCTCTCTTGTCTATTTCCTGGGCTGATTACAGTCAGTCCGTACGTGGCCTGATTCGACCCTAAGCTGTAGCACCCCGGTACCTGTAGAGGTCGAATCTGTCCAGAAACAGAGAAGTGTCGAGTTTGTTACTGCGCATGTGTATAGAAACGTTTGGATGCCATGCTGTATCTCCTTTCAATCAGGCACATAACAGTCAGTATCAGAGCGACGACCACGTTCATCCAGGGGACTAATTAGTTGGCCCACATCTGTCGAGCCGACGGTTGAAGGTTTCGGGCAGTGCCACATAGTCTTCAACATGTCGGCGGTGACAGCTCTTGATTGATTGTTACGCAGAGCGAAAACGAGTTCCAAGAGAAGAGAAAAAAAAAGGCGTGAGAGTGGTCTCCCGGTCTGAGCGGATGACTGCTCAAGAGTTGAATTTGCAGAAGAAAGCCCTCGGCGATTCATTTGCGGTAATTGATTGGAACTTTTGGCGAAAGATTCAGATTGGGCACTGACCTGCAGTGAGTCAGTCAGGCCCCTGTATGCCGTCAAATTGACCAGCGACAATCTCCAATCAAGACCTTGATCGAGTGAGTTTGCTCTAGACCTGTCCCTCTCACAACAGTCCATCAGTCTTTCAGAACTGGGCTGTCAGGTCTGTCAATCTGCAGTCTGTCTAAAGGTCAGCGAGTGTTTGTCAGTCTGCTTGGCGTCAGTAGGTTGTCAACAGTTTGACTTTTCCCCTATGAAACCACGCTTTCATTGAACACGGGAATTCCTTCCAGAAATTGAACGGATTGAACGCGCTCGAACACGGTTTCAATTCCACATTTTGGGCCTTTGGGGGGGGGGTAAGTGGGCTGTGTCAGCAAAGGGAAGGGGTGTCGGAGGTCTGGAAGGGGCCGTGGGCTCCAAAGAACAGGGAGAAAAAAGCCGAAAAAAGAGCAAAAGGGAAAAAAAAGGCCTGCACACCACCAGTGGCGGTGTGCATAAGTGGGACCTCCATTTAGAGAGCACTACCTCGATACATAGACATGGACATCCCTGTTAAGCTTTGCACCCCCTATAGCCCCCTCACCCACATGATCCCCCCAATTGCCTAGTGGTGAAGGGGTGCGAGGGTCCGAGGGGTTTTCAAGTGCAGGGTGTCGTTAGGTGTTTTTGGGGATGAGAGGGACGAGGGGGGCGAGGCCTGAACTATCTCCTTGCCTTCGCCCCTGTGCCACCCAATCCCCCGTCCCAAAACCCCCAACCCCCAACCCCA